TCATCCACCTACTCACTAACCCACTCACCCACTCCACTCATCCACCTACTCACTCAACCACTCACTCACCCACCCACTCACTGATCCGCCCACTCACTCACCCACCCACTCACCACCACTCACTCACCCACCCACTCACTCACCCGCTCACTAATCCACTCACTCACCCACCCACTCACTAAGCCACTCACCCACTCACCCACCCACCCACCTCACCTCACCCATCCACCCACCCCACACACCCACTCACTCACCCATCCACCCACCCACCCACTCACTCACCCACCCACCCACCCCACAACCCACTCACTCACCCTTCACACACCCACCCACACCACTCACCCACTCACTCACCCACTCACTAACCCACTCACCCACTCACTTTCTCACCCACCCACTCACCCACCCACTCACTAAGCCACTCACACACTCACTCACCCATCCACCCACCCACTCACCCACCCACTCACCCACTCACCCACTCACTCACCCACCCACCCCCCCACCCCACCGTTACCTGCGCTCTCGACGCGTGGATCTGCCTCGCCTGCCTGCGCGCCACGCGGTAGATCTTGGCGTAGGCCACGATCATGACGCCCATGGGCACGAAGAAAGCGCACGTGGTGTCCAGGAAGACGAAGCCCACGTTCTTGTAGAGGACGCAGTCGCCTGGGCAAGTTCGTGCCACCACCATCGCCTCGATCCCCACCGTGTTCCAGTGCAGGAGGAAAGGCACCACGTAGAAGGTCGGTCCCAGCCACGCGAAGGCCAGCATGGCGGCCACGCTTCGCCGGTTCACCTGAAGGGCGGAAGGAAGGTGATCCGCGAGTGATGGTCGGTCACTCGCTCGGCGGTTAAGTCACTCACCTGTTCAGTCAGTCAACTAATTAGTCACCTGCTTAGTCACTGACTCACTCACTTAGTCATGCATTCACTTACTTAGCCGCTCAGTCACTCAGTCACTCAACCACCCACTCACTCATCCACTAACTCACTCGCTCAGTAACCCACTTACTCACTCACCCACCCACTTAGTCACGCACTCACTCACTCACCCACTCAATCACCCACTCACTCGCTCAGTCACTCAACCACCCACTCACTCACCCACCCACTCACCCACCCACTCACTCACTCACCCACTTAGTCACCCATTCACTCACTCACCCACTCAATCACTCAACCACTCACTCACTCGCCCACTCATTCACCCACCCACCCACTCACTCACTCACCCACTAACTCACTCGCTCAGTCACTCACCCACTTAGTCACCCACTCACTCACCCACTAACTCACTCGCTCATTAACCCACCTCACTCACCACCCACTCACTCACCCACTTAGTCACCCACTCACTCACCCGCTCAGTCACTCAACCACCCACTCACTCATCAACCACTAACCTCACTCGCACATTAACCACTCACTCACCCACCCGCTCACTCACCTACTCACTCACCATCTCACTCACCCACTCACTTGCTCAGTAACCCACTCACTCACCCGCTCAGTCACTCAACCACCCACTCACCCACTAACTCACTCGCTCAATAGCCTACTCACTTGCCCACCCACTCACTCACCCACTCACTCACCCACTCACTCACCATCCGTCGATTCATCCATTCATTCATACGTCCATTCATACATCCGTTCATCTCTCCGTCCATTCATCGATACATTTATCCATTAACTCATTCATCCGTTCGTCTGTCCATCCCTCCGTTCATCAATCCGTTCATCCATCTGTCCATTCATTGATCCATCAATGCGTTCATCCATATGTCCATTCACTGATCCATACATCCTTTCATCCATCTGTCCATTCACTGATCCATCTGTTCATCCATATGTCCATTCACTGATCCATCCATTCATCCATATGTCCATTCACTGATCCATCCATCCGTTCATCCATATGTCCATTCACTGATCCATCAATCCGTTCATCCACATGTCCATTCATTGACCCATTCATCCGTTCATCCATATGTCCATTCATTGATCCATTCATCCGTTCATCCATATGTCCATTCATTGATACATACATCCGTTCATCCATATGTCCATTCATTGATCCATACATCCGTTCATCCATATGTCCATTCATTGATCCATACATCCGTTCATCCATATGTCCATTCACTGACCCATCTGTTCATCCATATGTCCATTCACTGATCCATCCATCCATCCATATGTCCATTCACTGATCCATCCATCCATCCATATGTCCATTCACTGACCCATCCGTTCATCCATATGTCCATTCACTGATCCATCCATTCATCCATATGCCCATTCACTGATCCATCCATTCATCCATATGTCCATTCACTGATCCATCCTTTCATCCATATGCCCATTCACTGATCCATCCGTTCATCCATATGTCCCTTCATTGATCCATCCGTTCATCCATATGTCCATTCATTGATCCATCCGTTCATCCATATGTCCATTCATTGATCCATTCATCCAATCATCCATATGTCCATTCACTGATCCATCCGTTCATCCATATGTCCATTCACTGATCCATCCGTTCATCCATATGTCCATTCATTGATCCATCGTTCATCCATATGTCATTTCATTGATCCATCCGTTCATCCATATGTCCATTCATTGATCCATTCATCCATTCATCCATATGTCCATTCACTGATCCATCCGTTCATCCATCCATATGTCCATTCACTGATCCATCCGTTCATCCATCCATATGTCCATTCATTGATCCATCCGTTCATCCATATGTCCATTCACTGGCCCATCCATCCGTTCATCTATATGTCCATTCACTGACCCATCCGTTCATCCATATGTCCATTCACTGATCCATACATCCATTCATCCATATGTCCATTCACTGATCCATCCATTCATCCATATGTCCATTTATTGATCCATCCATCCGTTCATCCACATGTCCATTCATTGATCCAATCATCCGTTCATCCACATGTCCATTCATTGATCTATTGATCCGTTCATACATATGTCCATTCACTGATCCATCTGTTCATCCATATGTCCATTTATTGATCCATCCGTTCATCCATATGTCCATTCATTGATCCATCCGTTCATACATATGTCCATTTATTGATCCATCCATTCATCCATATGTCCATTCATTGATCCATCCGTTCATCCATATGTCCATTCATTGATCCATCCATTCATCCATATGTCCATTCATTGATCCATCCGTTCATCCATATGTCCATTCATTGATCCATCGATCATACATATGTCCATTCATTGATCCCTCCATCATCCATAGTCCATTTCTATTGATCCATCCGTTCATCCATATGTCCATTCATTGATCCATCCGTTCATACATATGTCCATTCATTGATCCATCCATTCATACATATGTCCATTCATTGATCCATCCGTTCATCCATATGTCCATTCATTGATCAATCCATTACATCCATATGTCCCACTTTCATTGATCCATCCGTTCATCCATATGTCCATTCATTGCATCTTCAGTATACCGTACATATGTCCATTCATTGATCCATCCATTCATCCATATGTCCATTCATTGATCCATCCGTCATCCAATGTCCATTCATGATCCATCCCATTCATCCATATGTCCATTCACTGACCACCATCCGTCCATTCAATCATCCGTCACTCCCCCCCCCCCCCCCCCCCCC